TTATTTTAGCATATCCACATCAACACTTGGTGTTATTAGACTCTAAAACTCTAGACGATCTGTTGGTAATGAAATGGTATCATTGTTTTAAGATGCATTTTAGTGATTAACAGGTCGAGATTGCTTCACATGGATTTTTCCCATTTGATTTCCCTGTTTTTATATCCATTTGTGTGTTTTTTTTCTTGTTGATTTGTAGGGGTTTTTATATATTCTGGGTACCAATTCTTTGTCAATTACTTAAGTTGCAAGTATCTCCACAGATAGGAAATGCCATCTCTGTGATAAACTAGGTTCCCATGTATACTTTGGATCTGGGAACTTTCAAATCCAGTTCTAGATCCTTTTAAAAATACTGTATAGACTTTTTAAAGAGCCATTTTAGGTTCACAGTGAAATTGAGCAGAATGTAGAGAGAGTTTCCATATACAGTATCCCCCGCTTCCCCCACCTTTGTATAGCTTTCCCCGTTAGCAATACCTCCTACCAGAGTGTTACATTTGCTACAACTGACGAACCTACATTGACAGGTCACTATCACCCAAAGTCCAGTGTTTACACTGGGGTTCACTTGTTGCTGCACATTCTGTGGGTTTGGACCAATGTTTAATGACATGTACCTACCACTGTATCATTCAGAGAGTTCCCCTGCCCCAAAAACCCTCTCTGCTCTGCCTATTTCCCTCTCTTACCCCTGACAAGTACTGGTCTTTTTACTTTTTAAAAAGTTTTGCCTTTTCCAGAATGTCATAGAGTTGGAATCATAATAGTATGTAGCCTTTCAGATTGGCTTCTTTCACTTAGTAATATGCATTGAAGTTTCCTCCATGTGTTTTCATGGTGGGATCACTCATTTCTTTTTAGTGCTGAATAATATTCTATTGTCTGTACAAAATCACTAACTCATAACTCATTTCTCAAAATGTATCCCCAGCATTAAGTGGCACATGATTGTATTAGAAGACTCAGTTCCTCTCTGGCTCTCAATAGAGGTCTCAGTTCCTCAAGTTAGGTACTTTTTTTAAGCAGTTTTCTTTTTAAATCCTCACCAGAGGATATTTTTTCCATTGCTTTTCAGAGAGAGAGGAAGTGAGAGATGGAGAGAAACATTGATGTGAGAGACCTGTCAGTTGGTTGCCTCCCGCACACACCCCAACCAGGGCCGAACCTGCAACCGAGGTACATGCTCTTGGCTGAAATCAAACCCAGGACCCTTCAGTCCACCACTGCGCCAAACCGGCGAGAGCGGGAACTTATCAGAGGATTTCTTCAGTGCGCTCAGAGCGTGACAGACGGCTTCCTTCAGCGGGAGCGACCCAAGAGAGTGCAAGGAGCAGACTTCAGTGTCTTTTATGACCTAGTCTTGGAAGTCAGACATCATCATCTCCTCCTTTTTTCTATTCATTAGAAGCAAGTCACCAAATATAGCCCATAGTAGGGGGGGTGGGGTATTTTTAAACTACCACACTGCTGGTAAACTGAACACAGCGAGACACCAGGATGAGATGCCAGGTATAAAAAATATGTTCTATCCCATGTTCCAGATACAGTCATCTCCCTTCTTTCACTCCCCACAGAAGTATTTTTTAACTGTAGGCTCTGGGCCGTAGGTAAGCCATGAACAGTGTCCAGCATCTCTGAAATTTGCACTGCACTGCACAGAAACAGCAGAAAGGAGAAGGCCCAGAGTTTTGCAATTCCAGACTTCCTCTTTAATCTTTGTTTTAAATTGTCCCATAACTGACGATGTAATAGTAGAGGAATAGGTTATATGTAGCTCAGCCTAATTGTGAATAGTGCCTTTCACCACACTGCAGATTTGCTCACTCAATACATTTTGTTGTGGTTGTTTTAAAATCTTGTATTTTTTGTTGTTGTTCTTAATCCTACCTGAGAATATTTTTTCCATTGATTTTTTTTTTTTTTTTTGAGAGAGTGGAAGGGAGGGGGAGAGAGACACATTGATTGGTTGCCTCCCACAGGCACCTATGGGGTCAGGACTGAACCTGTAGCCAAGGTGAGTGCCTTGGGCCCTTCAGGGTGCCAGGTGACGCTCTAACCACTGAGCACCCCGGCCAGGTCTGGTTTCTGGTTTTTGGTTTTTAATTTTTATCCTTTTAGTATCAGTCTGGCAGTAACTGGAAGTACCCCCCCCCCC